TAAACCCTGTGCAAACAGACAGGGGAGTGAGAGAGCACAAGTGGGGCAAAGGGCAGAGGGAGAAGGAGAAGCAGACTCCCTGCTGAGCAGGGAGCCGGGATCATGACTTGAGCCGAAGGCAGATGCTTAACAGACCGAGCCACCCAGGTGCCCAGTGTTTTTATTTTTAGTTTTCCCTTGTCCTATTATTCTCTTCCTCTATGTTAATGCATTTAATGGGTTCAGAGGAAAATGTTAAAATGACCTCGTTTAGATTATTCTCAATACTGAAAGTCTTGATTCCTTTATTTTGCTCAACACATAATATTCTACAGTTCTCCAGCCTCTTATGGGCTCTTTCGGGCTTTTTTCTTTTTTCTGTGTCTCTATTCACACCCTTAAACAATTTGTGAACTTTAATGATTTTGTCCATCACATACGACAAACCCATTTTCTCTGTCACCTCTGCTTTATCTTTATATTTCTATTAGGTTACACAGCACAAATTAAGTTATATTTCTGTTAGGTTAAGACGGCACAAGTTTATTCTCAGACTTGTCAAAAATTGAGATCACACGTGAACAGACATTTTTCCAAAGAAGACATCCAAATGGCCAACAGACACATGAAAAAGTGCTCAACATCGCTCAGCATCAGGGAAATCCAAATCAAAACCTCAAGGAGATACCACCTCACACCAGTCAGAATGGCTAAAATTAAGAAGTCAGGAAATGATAGATGTTGGTGGGGATGCGGAGAAAGGGGAACCCTCCTACACTGTTCGTGGGAATGCAAGCTGGTGGAGCCACTCTGGAAAACAGTATGGAGGTTCCTCAAACAGTTGAAAATAGAGCTACCATACGATCCAGCAATTGCACTACTGGGTATTTACCACAAAGATACAAATGTAGGGATCCGAAGGGGTACGTGCACCCCAATGTTTATAGCAGCAATGTCCACAATAGCCAAACTGTGGAAAGAGCCAAAATGTCCATCGACAGATGAATGGATAAAGAAGAAGTGGTATATATACACAATGGAATATTATGCAGCCATCAAAAGGAATGAGATCTTGCCATTTGCAACGACGTGGATGGAACTGGAGGGTGTTATGCTGAGTGAAATAAGTCAATCAGAGAAAGACATGTATCATATAACCTCACTGATATGAGGAATTCTTAATCTCAGGAAACAAACTGAGTGTTGCTGGAGTGGTGGGGGGGTGGGAGGGATGGGGTGGCTGGGTGATAGACATTGGGGAGGGTATGTGCTATGGTGAGCACTGTGAATTGTGCAAGACTGTTGAATCACAGATCTGTACTTCTGAAACAAATAATGCAACATATGTTAAGAAAAAAGAAAAAGAAGAAGATAGCAGGAGGGGAAGAATGAAGGGGAGTAAGTTGGAAGGGGAGACGAACCATGAGAGACGATGGACTCTGAAAAACAAACTGAGGGTTCTAGAGGGGAGGAGGGTGGGGGATGGGTTAGCCTGGTGATGGGTATTAAAGAGGGCACATTCTGCGTGGAGCACTGGGTGTTATGCACAAACAATGAATCATGGGACAATACATCAAGAACTAATGATGTAATGTATGGTGATTAACATAACAATAAAAAAATAAAAAAAAGAAAACAAAATTCAACCAAGTAAAAAAAAAAAAAAATTGAGATCAGTGTTTTTGTCCCCAAATCAGCTTTTTTCCCCTTTCATTCTTCACATACTCATGATGTCTCTTCTTCATGGGTATTGTTAGACATAAGTGGGCCAATTTCCGCTGAAATAATCTTTAAAGCTTTCCTACGGGGAGTTTTTGAGTTAGCTTAGACTGGTAATTCTTTGATAACAAATCACCTCAAACTTTGGTGGTTTGTCATAGCAAATGTTCCTTTCTCACTTACACTGCTTGTTGTCTAAGTTCAGCTGTAGCTCAGCTTTTTTGCTTCTGGAATTCAGACAAAAGGAACAGGCTCATCTGAGTCATGGGGTTCTTAAAGAAGAGGGGAAAAAAGCAATGATAGGACCATGTGGTGCTTCTTCTTTTTTTTTTTAAGATTTTATTTATTTGTTTGAGAGAGAGCACAAGTGGGGCAAAGGGCAGAGGGAGAAGGAGAAGCAGACTCCCTGCTGAGCGCAGAGCCTGATGCAGGGATCAATCCCAGGACTCCAAGATCATGACCTGAGCTGAAGTCAGATGCTTAACTGACTGAGCCACCCAGGCGCCCACATGGTGCCTCTTAAAACTTGTTTGAAGGTGGCACTAGCTTTTCAGTAATCATTGGCCAAAGCAAATCCCATAGCCAAGTCTGATGTCCTTGTGATGGGATTGGTTTGGACATAAGGTGCTAGAATCCTGAAATCATGGACCGTGTTTTTCTTGTCTACTGCTGTGTCCACAGTGCTTGACAGAGAACCTAGCACTTAGACATTTCTAACAAGTATTTGTATGTAGATGGGAAACCTGACATTCAGTTTTATTTCATATACAATCTCTTTAACCACTGATTCATATACCGTTTCCTACATTTGGAAGCCCTCCAGACCAAGTGGCTTTTTATGTCTATCAGTCTCATTTTGTAATAAGAAAAGACATGAGGGTGATTTCCACATAGATCACAGAGACTGTTACGTCCAAGTAGAACTGAATTGTGGACAGTATGTATCGCTGGGACTGTAGATGAGTTAGGTCATTTAGTAGAAGGGGAAGGCGAAGGTGATTGAAGCAGTTTATAGCACACAGCGCTTACTTGAAAGGTTCCTGTCTCCCATGTAGAAGATAGTTTTGTTATGGATTTTGTGGATCACAGTAGAAGATGGAATGTGCAGAAATGAATGTAAAGGAATTATTGGTGAGAACAAATTGTGTTGTACATGTATCGTTAGTTATAGATGTCCTAGGACAAGGTGGAGCTGCCCAGCGGCCCCACGTAGGACTTCTCTAACTGAAAACTCCCTCTCTCCAGTGGAACCAAAGCCAGAAATCTACCCCTGTGCCTCCTGCCTTCTGGCCTTCTCCTGTCAGCAAGTCCTCAGCCAACATGTGCTTCAGATCTTCCTGGGCTTATGTGTAGAGAATCACTTCCATCCAGGGGATTCCGGCCCCGGGCATCAGGAGCAGCAGTATTCGGCTCAGAGCTGCTGGAGTGGAAACACAGAAGGTCACCGGAGGGAAGGTGGCTCCCAACCCTTTTGTGCAAGGACAGGGGAGACAGAGACCTCAGGCGCATTCCCCAGCCTCCCCCGAGGACAGTCAGCAAAAACTAGAGAAGGCACCATGGTGGTAGAAACAGAGCCCACCTCAGCCCAAAGGCTAAACCCTGTGCAAACAGACAGGGGAGTGAGAGAAACCTCAAGATCGGGAGTGGTCAACCGTACGGAACATGAACTAGATTGTAGCCTGAAATCAGACTCCTTTGCAAAGCAGACGACCCACTTACAGAAGAAACCCTATGTTTGCAGGGAGTGCAGGAGAGGCTTTAAAGTGAAGTCAACTCTCATCAGACACCATCGGACACACTCAGAGGGGAAGCCTTATGTGTGTGGTGAGTGTGGCCGAGGCTTCAGCCAGATGTTGATCCTTATTAATCATCGGATTACACATTGGATCACACACTCGGGAGAAGCCATATGTGTGCAAGGGGTGTGGCCGAGGCTTTAGCCAGAAGTCCAACCTCAACAGACTCCTGAGAACACTTTCAGGAGAGAAGCTTTATTTGTGCAGGTAGTGTGGACAGAGCTTGAGAAATAAGTCAATCCTCATTAGACATCAGTGGACTCACTCTGCGGAGAAGCCTTATGTCTGCAGTGAGTGTGGGCGAGGCTTCAGTGAGAAGTCATACTTCATCAGACACCAGAGGGCACACTCAGGGGAGAAACCCTATGTGTGCCTGGAGTGTGGACCAGCCTTTAGTGATAAGTGAGCCCTCAGAAAACACCAGAGGACACACTCAGACGAGAATCCTTATATTTGTGGGGAGTGTGGTCAAGGCTTTTGCGATAAGTCAGGCCTCAGCATACACGACAGGACACCCTCGGGGGAGAAGCCTGACTTGTGCGGTGAGTGTGGCCACGCCTTCAGCCAGAAATCCCTCCTCGTTGTTCACCAGAGGACACACTCTGGGGAGAAGTATTTTGTTTTCAGGGAGTGTGGGTGAGGCTTTCGCTGTAAGGCAAATCTTATCGGACACCAGAGGATACAGTAAGAAGGGGCGAGACTTGAGCAATCAGTCAAACCTGATCCTGCACCAGAGAGCCAGATGGGGAGGAGTCCCTCTCCATGCATGGAGTGTGAGTAGCGCTTCAGAGACGTGTTGGGCCTCGTCAGGCTTCGAGGCACATTCAGGAGAGGAGCATCATCTGTGTGGAACATGGGCGACTCCGTAGCCATAAGTCAGCCCTCACTGCACAAAAAGGATGCACTTAGGTGGGAAGTGCTGTGTGTGATGCAGGGACCGTGGGTGGGGCTTTAGCAATCAATCCACATTTCCCGAACATCCGGTGGCCGATTTGGGAGAGGTGTCATGGGTTCAGAGGGTACTGGTGGACCTCAGTGAGCAGAACAGGCAGGCAGGCAGGTGCGAGGTGGCGCCCTCAGGGAGGGCTGGCTGCTTGCTGGGAGTGTGGGCGAGACTCTTGCGCTCAGTCAGCCTTCTTCACACACCATAAGGACAATCCGTATGTGGACACCCCGGGGAGCTCTGCCCCCATAACTTCTTCAGGGCCAGCACCCCTGCTGCTCCAGATGACTCCTACTGGTGGCTTCACAGAGGCGTTCCTCACTATGACTTGTTTTAGCCATGGGCAACTGCCCCTTCCCAACGGGTGGCTCCTGATCAATGACTGATTGATCTGGGGAGAACAAAATCTCAACGCTTGCCTCAGCCAGGACAACTCCAAAGGGTCATCCCAGATCCACAGGTCCCCACTGGACTGAATGACTTCTTGGTTGAAGACATGTTGCACGTGGGCTTCTTCCTCAGCCCGGTCCTGCCCTCATTCCCCGATAGACCACTCAACTCTCCATTTCATTGTCTCCGGGGAATCTATTCTGAGATAGCTTAGGTGTGCAAGGGGATGTGGACAGGGTTTTGGCCATAAGACGCCCCTCAACAAACCCCAGAGTATACAGAACAGAAGTTCTGCGTGTACGGGGAGTTTGGGCCAGGGCTTAGGAAAAATGTGTCTCAGTATCCATCAGGAAACAGCTTTTTTGGGAGAAGCTTTCCAAGGGCAGGAAGGGAGGCTTTAGCAGGATGTGAAGCCTCATCTTGCACCAGAGGACACACTCAAGGAGGGCTCATGGCTGTAGCTTTCTCCTGCTGTCTTCTTCTTCTTCTTTTTTTTTTTTTTTAAGATTTTATTTATTTGACAGAGAGAGACACAGCAAGAGAGGGAACACAAGCAGGGGGAGTGGGAGAGGGAGAAGCAGGCTCCCCGCGGAGCAGGGAGCCCGATGCGGGGCTCGATCCCAGGACCCCGGGATCATGACCTGAGCCAAAGGCAGACGCTCAACCAGCTGAGCCACCCAGGCGCCCCAGTCTCCTGCTGTCTTCTTGACAGACTCCAGGGGACAGAGACTTGCTGCTACAGACCGCTACCTCATTCACCCCTGAGGGGCCTTCAGAAGCCGTGACGAGTGGGAAGATGGCACTCTCAACTACAGAGACCCAGTTTTCCCCTTTTTTGTAATCAGATGGAGTAAAAATGTAGAAGGCTTTACTTAAGTAATCCAGGAATGGTCTAGTTGTTTCATTTTCATACACCGATTCTTTCCCAGTTTCTCTTGTCCTTTTGTGCGAGTAAAATCTTTTCTGATAAGCGCAGGCTCTGTACCTTAGTCTCTCACCTGTCTGGAAAGGAATTCAAATCCGCAACCTGGATTTCCTATATGAATTCAACCCTCGAGAAACAAGAAGTCCCAAATCAATCTAATAGATTTATAGGGGAATCGGAGCCTCTGCTGGGGGGGAGGATGACCTAGGTTCTGGAGACATGCCAGCTGAAGAGAGGGCCTTCCCAGGTCCCCGGGCACCGTAGGGCTGCCGCCTCTCCTAACTGATCTCCCTTTGGCTTCTGGGAAAGCTTTCCCAGGGTTTTCTTCCTTCTTTCCAGTCTCTCTTCAGGTCTCTGCTGAATCCCTCTCCACCCTGTGGAAACACTGCTCTTCCTTGGTGGTCTGTTCACGTCCTCTGGTTCCAGGGACCCTTTAGCCACACTCCCTCTGTGGCCTTCCAGATTCCAGGATCAGGTCCTTTAACCACACCCAAACTGTTCTCCAGCCAGAAATCACTGTTTTGGGCTTCTTAGCTATTCCCCATGTCAGTTCATAGGTCTAAAGACTCCTAAACATGGCTCTAATACCATGTCCCCTCAGCCCTCCATTCCTTGGGTCCAGTCCTGCTAAGTCACCCCCTCTATCATCCCTCTACTCAGTGGTCCAAGACAACCTAGCCGTACACCTGCCCTTGTTCGTCAGCAATGAGATTCCTAGCATAATCTTTTTCCTAATGGAAATGTAATAGAATACCATGCTATGCTGTTTTTATTTTCTCCTAATATGCATGATATGTATAAAGGATAAAAATCCATGCTCTCCTTATATAAAGATGATTTTTGTCTAGCCCTGTACCCTATTCATAATTTTAGTCTAGAAATTGTTTTGGAGAATAGCCAAACATGCACTTACTCTTAAAGAGAAGTTTGGCACAAGTTGCAATATGACATTCTAGAATCCTAAAAAGAAAAAAACAAACCAGATTCCTAGAGTTCCATCCACCAGTGTTCTAAAGGATAAAAGCATTCCCTCTCTGTCTGAATGTTGGGGCAACAGCTGAGGATCGGAAGATCTTGCAAAGTCAGGTTATACACAGGGACAGGCTTTGCCCTGCTGATGTAGATCACCAGGGCAGTCCCAGCTTACCCTGCTGACCAGGCTCTGAGGCAGAGCTGACTTCATAAAACCCTTGCCGCTGCTACTCCTCAGTTCTTTTTCCAACTTCCTGCTTCCTCTGGGAACTAGAAAGCTCCTTGGCCAGTGCAGTTTCCTCCCATGCTAAGTACCTGTAGGACACAGCTTTCTCCAATCGATTGGCCACCGTGTTTTCTCTGGCTATCCACTCAGGCAGTGGTGACTTAATCGGGAGCCCAAATAGCACAGGTCTGTGTCCCAGCCCAGGTCGCTTCCCCTGTACCCTCCATTCAGCCCTATGGACACACACCCTAGGGCCCCACTGGGCTGGCTGGCTGGCAGGCAGATCACTTGACCTTCATCCTATGCAGCTGGTTGCTGGTTGCTGCTCTCCAGAGCCTCTCCTTAGTTCTGCATATATGGGCCACTGGGGCCCCAAGAGCCACCCCTAGCTGCCCTAGCTCAAGCTGTGCACAGAGTACTAGGTGCTTGCCGTGCTCCACCCTCCATTTCCAATGGCACCTATGGCAGTACCTTGGCCTCTGCTCACCAGCTCATCAGTCTCCACTAACTGTGCCCCGGAGTCTGTTTGCTGCAGCCCTTCAGATGCAGACACTATGTGTCAACATCACCCTGGCTCCCTGTGCACATCCAACTCCCTCTGTGACCCTGCCTCCCAGCTTTGGCTTGCCTGATGACCAGAGACCGGCTCTGGCCCGTGCAAAGGCCTCCCCCTGCAACTTCTCCATCATCCTGTGGACTGGAACCACATCTTCTCCCGTGAGGGTTGAACCCCAGCCTTGAGGAGGCAGGCCTCCTTCCACGTTTATCCTTCTGAGTACTCTCCCCCAGCTCTGGGTTTTCTCTCAATATTTACAGTTACTCTCCTACCACTGCATATTAATTCTTCATGCTAAGTTTCCCATTGAAATTACTGTGTGGTTTCTGCCTCCTCTTTGGACCCAGATTGATACAGATGTGAATGTGCATGTGTATAGCTTTTGTACAAGGGCAAAGACATGAACTTTGTACTTGCATTTATTCAGTGAATCCAGGGATAAGCCAAAGAAACAGTGCAAGTCAAAGTTATTATTAATACTAGCTGGGGCTATGGCCCTGAACCCAGACACAGAAATACAATGGTTTGGACCCTGGGATGGCAAACTACAGGCCTGAAGGCCAAATTTGGCCTGCCACCTGTTTTGGTAAGGCCTGTGAAGTAAGAATGATTTTTCTATTTTAAATGGTTGAAAAAGAACCAAAAGGAGAATAGTATTTGTAAAGTTTTATTGTGACAGCCATATATTTGTGACGTTGTCTCTAGCTGCTTTCATCCTATCATGGTTGAATTGAGTCATTGCAACAGAGACCATGTGGCCCACAAACCCTAAAGTACTATCTGATCTGACCCTTAACAGGAAAAGTTTGCCAGGTCCTGATCTAGACCGAACCTTAGGAACACTTTACCAAACACAGGCCAGATGAATTCATGACCTCCCTTTTCTTTTCTTGTCTGTTTTTTTTTTTTTTAAAGATTTTACTTATTTATTTGAGAGAGAGAGACACAGCAAGAGAGGGAACACAAGCAGAGGGGAAGGGTAGAGGCAGAAGCAGGCTTCCCGCTGAGCAGGGAGCCTGATCCGGGGCTCCATCCCAGGACCCTGGGATCAGGACCCTAGCCAAAGGCAGACGCTTAACGACTGAGCCACCCAGGCGCCCCACCTCCTTTTTCTTGTTTGTGGAAACTGACAAGCTGATGGTGGCTAGGAGGTTGGTAGCAATGGAGCAGGTGACAACAGTCAGATTCAAGATACTTTGTAGGTGAGGTGCTCACGATTTGCTGATGGATGAATTATGAGATGGGAGAGGAAGAGAGGACTCAAGGATGCTTCCAAGTTTGTCATTTTGCTTTTTTGTTTTTTAACTAGAGAAACTCCTGAGATGGGGAACACTGGTAAGAAGTGGGTTTGGGAAGAGTGACTACAACAAGAATCCAATTTTCATCATGTTAAATTTTTTTTTTTTTAAAGATTTTATTTATTTATTTGAGAGACAGAATGAGATAGAGAGAGAGCACGGGAGGGAAGAGGGTCAGAGGGAGAAGCAGACTCCCCGCTGAGCAGGGAGCCCAATGCGGGACTCGATCCCGGGACTCCAGGATAATGACCTGAGCCGAAGGCAGTCGCCCAACCAACTGAGCCACCCAGGCGCCCTCATCATGTTAAATTTAGTATACCTGATAGACTTCCAGGTCAAGCAGGCAGCTGGAGATAAAAGGCCACAAGTTAAACGAAGAGCTCGGGGTTAGAGGAATAAATTTGAAATTCCTGAGCATTTAGGTGGTATTCACAAGTCCGAGGACTAGATGGGATTGGTTGATTGACTCATTCATTCATTCAAATATGTTTTGAACCCTTGTTTTGTGTTAAGCAGTATTCTAGGCATTGCAGTAACGAAAAATACACAAAGGAAAATTTATACCCTCAGAATTTCCATTCTAATGGGGAGGAATAATAAAATAACAGAAATATACAGTATATTAGGGATCGATGTTAAGGAGAAAGATTAAAGCAGGGATGGGTGGGAAGGTTGCAGTTTTAATCGGGATGGCCGGAGTAGTCCTCGGTGGGAAAATGTTTGAGCTTAAGTCTCGAAGGAAGTGAGGGCATGAGTCGTGCACACAGCCGAACGATTAGCATCCCAGGAGGGGCAACAGCAAATGCAAAGGTGCTAAGGCAGGAGCACAGCAAGCTAGTTCGCGGAAAAGCTAGGACAGTGGCTGCAAGAGAGCCGGCGGAGAGTGGTGGGAGATGATGACCTAGAGGTAATGGGCCGGGGCGGGAAGGAAGGCGTGGAGGAGCAGCTCGGGAACGAGCTGAAACTAGGAAGGTGACCAAACACCTCCGGAAAGTTCAGTTTGATGTGAGCCCCGCCCCAAGCCCCCGTGGTCTCTACGCTCACAGCTCCGCGTTTTGGCCGGAACTTAAGAGCTGAGGCCGGGCCGGAAGTACCTTTTACCCGACCCCATTTTATCCGCGGCCGCACTTCCGCTAGCGGCGGCGGGAAGCAGACTACTGGCGGGCGTCTAGGCCTCTGCCGAAAGGAATCCGGCGGGAATCGGAGCCATCAGAACCGCCACCATGGTGAGGAGGCACAGGCTGGCGGCGCGGGAACTTCCGAGTCTGTCGTGGAGTGCGGACCGCGACTAATGGGGGCAGGCCGTGGGTTGGCCGCTCATGGCGGTGAAGGCCCGGGCCGCGGCCGCCCCGTCTGGGCAGGGGAGACCCGGACCTTGGCCATTCGGCGGGGTGGGGGAGGGGAAGGCTGGAACCGGGGGACGGGGGCAGGGCTCGCTCGGTGGTGGCGAGGTTAGAACCGCGGCTCTCCACGCCGCCGTAGCCACAGTGCTTGGGGATCCTACAGGCGTTAAGTAAACTTTTGCAGAATAAATGCGTGTCTGGGGGTTCGGAGCAGGCATTAGAGTGCTTGTGGAACGGGGTGAAGGTCTGAGGAGGAGTTGGCGGAAAGAGGTCCGAGGACTTGTGGAAACCAGGGTGCTTGGGTCCAGTAGGTGGGAGGAGGGAATGGGAGGGTGAAGGAGAATGGAGGAAGAGTTCAACTCATTTGTTGAGCATGGCTGTGTGTTTGAGTATGTCTGACTTTTCAGACACCGGGGCTACGTAATGAAATGCTTCCTTCCTTCACCCAGTTCACTTTCTGGTGGGGGACACAGATACCATAATCCAGAGTGGTAATTAAGCATTACGTAAAAGTAACGGCGAGGGAGGGGCGGGGCGAGAACGCTTTGTGGAGTAGATGATTACTGAGAAGAGTCCTAAAAGATTGTTAGAGGTGTCTTCCCAGCGAAGATGGAAGGGAGTATTATAGATGGGAAGGACTGCAAGAGCAAAGCCTGAAGGATGGCACTGTTGAAAGTTCCCGGAGGGGGAAGGGAGGAAGGGGGGGTGGAAAGGAGACATGGGAGGAACTGGCAGGAACCTGGTATTTAAAGGCTTTACATAATACCTAGCCCTGTTGGTGATGAGGCATGCTACTGAAGGATTTAGCCAGCAAAATGACTTGAACTTAGTTGTGCTTAGAAAGAGCACTCTGTTCTGTAGCTGGTACGGGTTGGGTGAACTGAAAGCAGGGAATTGTTTGTGGGATTGGTTGGAAGAGTAGGCACTGGATTCAGTCTGTCCAGGTTCCAGCCCAGCTTCCTGGCTGTGAGACAGGGCAAGCTATTAACCTCTCCTGGCCTCAGTGGCTACATCGGTAAAATAGGAATAATAATTAGCCTGATTTCTAGAATTAAATGCGTTCTGTAGTGCTTGTCACGGTGCATGTTACACAGGGAGCACCCTGGAAGACTTAGCTATTACAAGTCGGATGGACCGGTAAATGTTGCCATAACGGTTCACATCTGTGTGGCTAGAAGCTGTGTGATTACAGGCCGGTTAACATGGTCATTTGAGGGAGAGTGGACCACATAACCTGCGTCTCCAGGGTGTCAGTCAGGTTCTGATCCACACATTGGTAGGTTCAAAAACCCGTTCTTGTCCAAGCTCACAGAGATAACAGCAAGCACAGTGCCCGGCACAGAGAAGGCGCTTGGATGAGTTATGCTTGGCCCACACCAATCACACCGACGGGAGGCTGATAGACAAATCAAATGCCAGGTTGTTTATTTCTAGAGAGATATAACTGCCAAAGGCACCTGACAATTTGCGTTGTGAGATCTATTTAGTCTCCCTTTTAGCAAAGCTACATTGGAAGCCAGGCTACAAAGCAGAAAAGATTGTTGGATTGATAAATAAGTATAGCAAGTTATGTATGTTCTTAAAGACCATTTTGTGTTCAAACTGATGAGCACCCTGATCACCAGAAAGTTTCCTTCCCAAAGGTAGTCTTGGAGGCACGCTAACATTTATGATGTAGGGATTCCATTCTCCTTGGCTCCAAGCTGATCACCTCCTTTCTGTTGACAAATAGAGCCAGTCATTCCAGCTCCTCTTTCACTCGGTCTTTTAAATAGGCTGTGAGTGTCACCTATAATCTGCACAGTGGCAGGTGGCTTATCTGGTATGGGGGGGATTGGATTAGTTTGGAGACACTACACCCTCACCGCTGAAACTGACAGAGCACAGACACAGGCAATTGTAATGTGAAAAAGACAACTTTAAGGGAAGGGGAATAACAGTTGCGCGCAGAGGTCAGGGCTGAACTCAGGGCGGTGGGGGGGAATTCCTGGGGAAGGACTGTGGCGGGAAGACAGAACTGAGACCCTACTGAGAAAGATAGATAGCCATGTGGAGAAGGAGGCCACAGCTGGTCTTTAGGAAGGACCAGGGATACAGAGGTCCAGAAAGAGCTGCACTCATCCTGCTGATTTCTCCTTGCAGACTGTGGGCAAGAGCAGCAAGATGCTGCAGCACATCGACTACAGGATGAGGTGCATCCTGCAAGACGGCCGCATCTTCATTGGCACCTTCAAGGCTTTTGACAAGCATATGAATTTGATCCTCTGTGACTGTGATGAGTTCAGGAAGATCAAGTGAGAAGTGGGCTGCGTGGGGGTGGGATGTGAGTTTCGAGGGCAGTGGATTGGGTGGGTGGGCCCAGCAACAGGTGGTGATGTAGCTAGCTGGTTCCTTGGTTTGCTCTCCTGTGTTAGAGGGCAGATTTAAAGCGGGACACCGGACTCTTAAGAAATCTCCTTCCTTACTAGCCCGGCAAGCCTTGCTCTCTAGTCCTAGCTGAGTACAAGTTGTAAGGAGGGCTGCTAGGCTTTTTGTTTCTCTGACTTTTGTGTGCCCCTGGGTACTGGGGTAAAGGGCTCTCATGTTCTCCCCACAGGTGTGTAAGGGGGGAGAGCTTGATTTTCTGGCCTCATTGCCTATTTGTAAAGCTGTAGCCTAAAGGGCTCTCCCAATGCAGCCTGGTCTGAAACTGCTTTAAGAAGCCTCTGACCCTCTTCAGGGTAAGTGCTCAGCTTCCCGTGTGGGTTTGGGGCCAGTGATTTTTGTTGGCATTTATAGACACAATTGGAGGTATTTTCTACTTTTCTACAATTCCATATGTAATTGGATCACCCCCTTGTCTTAAGACTCACAGATCTTAAGCTTCTGGCCTATTAAAAAATGTGGGCTATAGCTTTTCGTGCATATTACATTCAAGGCATCCCGAGGCCCAAAGAGGTTATGTGACTTCAACGATCATTCAGCTCTCTTTTGCCACATGCACTGGTCCATGTTGTGTTGTTGGCAGCTGTGAATTCCCTCTGATTCCCTTTAGGGCTGTTGTTTTGTTTTTGTGGCAAGAGGTCAAGAAGTATAGGACACAATGTGGTAGGGATGGCTGAGTGCCAGGGACACATTAAAGAGGGGCCAGCAGATCAGCGAGGAACTATTCCAAATGGTTCTCCCCTGTTGTTTTTTTAAAATGAAACTGTTCTGATAACTTAAAAATGTTTATTGGGAAATATATTTTAAAAATACATAAAAGTATATGAAGAAGGATTTCAATACCCGGAAGGATTTTTCAGTGTGTGTGTGTGTGTGTGTGTGTGTGTGTGTGTGGTTTTTTTGGTTTGTGTTTTTTTGCTTTGTTTTGTTTGTTTTTTATGAAAGAGCAATACATGCTTTTATTTAAAAAAATATAGATAAGGAAAAAGGAAGAAATGTCCACCCATAGAAAACTTCTTGTTAATTTATTATAAAAAATACCATTAAAAGGAAACCTTTAAGTTTTTAAAAATCAGAGCATTTTGTCTTTCCTTTACTTTTAGGATATTGGTTTTGACTTTTTCTTCCCTTCCCCTATCTGGCTGCAGTTATTTATTTCCCAGTTTACATTTACAGTTGACTCTCAAGCAACCCAGGGGTTGGGGCACTGACCCCACGCAGTCGAAAATCCACATATAACTTTTGACTCCCCCCAGACCGAATTACTAATGGCCTACTGTTGTCCGGAGGCCTTACCAATGACCTGAACAGATGAACATGTATTTTGTATGTTACATGTATTATATACTGTATTCTTACAATAAAGTAAGGTAGAGAAAAGTTACTAAAATCACAAGGAAGAGAAAATACATTTGCAGTACCGTATCAAAAAATTCCCACACAAGTGGCCCTGCACGGTTCAAACCCATGTTGTTCAAGGGTCAACTACATATTTTGTTCCTCCATTTCTTGTAGTTGCATTGGGAATGTCTGTTTTTGTGCTTTGAGGACAGAGGTGTAATTTCTGTGTAGTTAATTCTCTTCTTTTATTCTATTTCCGAGGTGAGGTGAGGGCTGTGGTGAATCATTCTGCGGGGCTGAGTTGGTAGTGGAAGGGTGCTATGCTGCGTGCAAGAGGGCTGAGTGGGGTTCAGTGGACTTGAGTTGTTCAGGCTGCTTCCTCAGACTGACAAGGCCTTAAGCTGAAGGGAGGGAGTAGGGTAATGTCAAAGAAGACTGGACTGAGGAAAGGCCTTCCCGATGGTTAAGGAATTACATTTGAGCCAGGACTGGGCTTTCTTAATTCTCATCCTGTATCTTGGTCGGTATATCCCCTTGGCGTGGGAGACAACCACTAAGGGGTGAGGAGTTCAGCCTGTGAAGACTATCCAGAGGAGCTGTCTTAAAGTTTTTGTACCATTTGTTGGGAGATAACAGTGTAGAACAAATCTCGGAGGCCCCTAGACAGGTGAATGGGAGCTTTACCCTTTTTCTAATGCTTGCTTTTTTATTTCTTTTCCTAAACCTGTCCTCAGGCCAAAGAACTCAAAACAAGCAGAAAGAGAAGAGAAGCGAGTCCTTGGTCTGGTGCTGCTTCGGGGGGAGAACCTGGTCTCAATGACAGTAGAGGGACCTCCTCCCAAAGATGTAAGTCAGTGCAGAGGGCCAGTATAAGGCGGGGGAGCCCTACTGTGAGCCAGGCTCTGTGTTAGGTTCTCTGCATTTCACTGCATTACTCAACAGGCATCCTCTGATTTTTGTCCCCCTTTTACTGATAATAGAATCTCAAAGAGGTTACCCCACAAGTAGGAAGTAGAGATGGGGAACCAGGATGGGAGGGTTTCCAACTTTAAAGCCCTCCCTTCTTCCTCTGCTGATGTACACAGTGAGTCAGGAGAAAAGGCACTTAAGGCCATCTGGTCACTTAATGTGATGGCATTCTAGCTGGACTTTAAAAAGTCTTAAGTCCAAGAGCGCCTGGGCAGCTCAGTTGGTCAAGTGTCCGACTCTTGATTTCAGCTCAGGTCATGAACTCATGGTTGTTAGATTGAGCCCCGCATCAGGCTCCATGTACAGTTGGGAGTCTGAGATTCCTGCCACACCTGTGTGCCCACCCCTGCATCGCCCTCCCCCGCTTGTGCTCATTTCCGCACTCACTCTCAAATAAAATAAATAAATCTTTATAAAAGGAGGGGGGGAGCTCTGTTAAGAGGGGATAAAGAAACCAAAGGGCTCCTGAACATTAATTTAAAATGCTGGATTGCGGGGCGGTGCCTGGGTGGCCGTCGATTGAGCTGCCGACTCTTGATTTTGGCTCAGGTCATGATCTCTGGATCCTGGGATCCCACTCTGTGTTGGGCTCCACGCTTGTTGGGGAATCTGCTTGAGGATTCTCTCTCTTCCCCTCTCATGAGTGCTCTGTCTCCCAAATTAAAAAAAAAAAAAGTCCTAAATTCAAGCAACAGAATGTATATATTTTACACTGTTAGAGAATAATAGTTAACATTTATTAAGCATCTGCTGTGTGCCAAGCACTTTAATCTTTTAGTTACTCCTTATAAACAGTTTTTTGAGATAAATTATTCGCATTTAACAGATAAGAAAAACTGGGGTTTAGTAACATCCCTTAGTGTCCAGCTATTACGTGGTGGGGCTGGCATTTGACTGGGTAGTCTTGGTTCTATAAACACCAGCCTACACTTAGAACAGACTTTAGAGCACCTAAGCAGGTTTTCCCATTTTCATTTTAAGACATTGTCATCAAAGGGATAATCTTCCTTATTTTTGCTTTTTTCCACATGTATATGTGTTTTTTGGTGTTTAACGCATAATATGTATGTAATGCTTTATTCGGCTTTTTCACTTAACGTTGTAAACATTTTCTCCCGCTTTGGTATACTTTTTAAAAGTCATGTTATTAAGTGAGGATGGAGTAGTTATCCTAGTCATTTCCTTCTTTTTGGACTTGTACATTGAAGCCTTTCCAATGATAAATGTTTGCAAGGGATTTACCACATTTTTTGGTTAAAGCATATGTATGTCTGTATTCATAACTCTTGGATCTACTTCTAGTAGAAGTCGCTACTCTGATATAGATCATCGTAAGGCTTCATGGCCACAACTGGTTTTGTCATAACCCCATCATTTACAGATGAGGAAACAGTCCCAGAACTGTGGGATTACTTGCCCACTGTCACCCACCGGGTGAGAATCAGAGCTGGGACTGGACCTCATTTCTCTTTGATGCCAGGTCAAGTGCTCTTGTCCTCTACACCCTTCTGAACAGAGCCCTGGCCCTTCATTGGTTTAATTTTCATAGGAATGCGTATAGGTTGAGTTGTGGTTTGTTATCTCTAGACTTCCTCTTAGCCTGCTGTAGGGGTGACAGCTAGACGCATAATCTTGGGTGGAAGAGGAATGGTATTAACACAGATGGGTGGCTGGATAGTGTTTTTAAGCTGTTTTGATGCCCCATAAACCTTAGGGGCTCTCTTGGCAATGGTATTCCAAAGGGTACTTCTGCCTCTCTAGGCCCCCAGCATTTTAGCATATTTCTTTATTTTTTAGACTGGCATTGCCCGAGTGCCGCTTGCTGGAGCTGCCGGGGGCCCAGGGATTGGCAGGGCTGCTGGCAGGGGAATCCCAGCTGGTGTTCCGATGCCCCAGGCTCCCGCAGGACTGGCAGGGCCAGTCCGAGGGGTTGGTGGGCCATCCCAACAGGTAAGGAGCTGGGGAAGGGCACCAACTTCTCCTGGTTAAAATGAAGGATAGAGAGAGGGCCCACAGTTGGGGAAGAGTCCAGAAGGAGTGACCTCTGACTGTCAGGCTGTCAGTATTTCATTGTGCTCTGTATGTAATCCCAGAATCAAGTGAGAAGGAAAACTTAGCATTGTAAATTATCTTGATGCTGTTGAAGTAAAGAGATGCATAGGAGGTGTTTTAGCCGACCGTGTTGGGGCAGACTGTTTCTGTGACAGCATGGGAGCTGTGCTCTCTTAGACCCTGTTAGCAGTTACACTGACAGTGCAGTGGCTGTCTCTAATTTGGACTGGGCCTCCCTAACTCGGGCCTGGAAGATGGGAATGAGCATTCAGGCTTGGTCTTCTCTGGCAGGTGGTTTCAGATAGCCTGATGCTGTGAGTTGTAGCTTAGGGGGTGGGGTGTCTGCTCAGTCTTAACCGAGTTGAGAGAGTGGGATGCTGCGTTGCCCTGCTCTGTCCTGCCTGACTTGGCTCCTGTGTCCTTGTAGGTGATGACCCCGCAAGGAAGAGGGACTGTGGCCGCTGCTGCAGCTGCTGCCACGGCCAGCATCGCGGGGGCCCCAACCCAGTACCCGCCTGGCCGTGGGGGTCCTCCCCCACCTATGGGCCGGGGGGCACCACCTCCAGGTGAGGAGCCCGTAAGGAGACCATGGCCACCTCATGGGAGATGCCTGAGCTGGATTCATGATGAGACATAACGTTGACGGAAACTGATGATGAGTTTGTATAATTAAGCAGGATTACTCTGAGATCCAGCCTGGCTGACTGACCATGGAACTAGCTGGACAAGAGCCATAGGGAGCCCCACCTCTTTGGCTCAAGGCCCAGTTTCTTAGGAGAGACTGGGAGGGTGGAATGGTCCATCTGTCTCAGAACTTGGTGGACGGCTTTGTTATGTTTCCTGCTACCTTTTCAAGACAGACACTTAAGCTGTATTCTTGGGGCTTTTCTGTTGTAGGCATGATGGGCCCACCACCTGGCATGAGGCCTCCCATGGGTCCCCCGATGGGGATCCCCCCTGGACGAGGAACTCCGATGGGCATGCCCCCACCGGGGATGCGACCCCCTCCCCCGGGCATGCGAGGTAAGTGCCAACAACAGTGACTTGACTTCCTTAGAGCATGTTGGGATGGTAAATGGAGGGAAGGTTGGATTTTGACCATACCCTCTGGGCTTCTAGGCCTTAAGCCTAGGGAAGTGAACGCAGAGGCAACTTTGTCCACAAAGAAAAGAGGGAAAAAGCATTTCTTAAGATCAGCCTTTCCTCCCTCTTAGAGCAGTTAGAGTGGTCCTATACCCAGGGAACTTCTCAGTGTCCAAGGCAGTGTTCTCAGGGCACTGCGAAATAATACATTCTGAGAGTCCCTAGCAAAGGTCCTAGGATTGTTTTATGCCCTAGGGTTTGATAATGTCTAGTAATTAAGAGGGGGCTCTGGGCTTTGCTGTACTATTTATTTATATATATCTGTTTAACTCTAGTTTGAGAAATGCTGACGTAGATTAGCCCTCATTTGTAGATAAGGAAACGGGCCCCGAGAGCTTAGTGTTTTGCCTCCCAGATTGGTGTTCTTTTGAACCAAGCCATAGTGGGTGACCCCTGTGTCTCTAGTTAGTTCGGGTTTTTTGTTTATGGGTTTTATAAGCATAGGAACCTTTGTGTACCAGAGAAGTCCCTAGTTAGCATATATGTTAAGTACGTCCCTCTGATCACTTGGTGACTGTGGGGGTGTGGGAGGCGGGGGCTGGGGATTTGAGTTGCATTATCAGGCACTGACTAAACTTCTTACTCTTACTTCAGGCCTTCTTTGACCCTTGGCCACAGAGTTATGGAAGTAGCTCCACAGAGGCGTGGGCCCGATTACCACAGACCTGTTTGTTTGTTATGCCGTTGTTCTCGGAGTCTCACGGGATTGTCTGGTTTCCCTTTCAGGGCCCCCTCCCCTGGGAATGCGCCCACCAAGGCCCTAGACTCATCTTGGCCCTCCTCAGATCCCTGCCTGTTTCCCGTAAGGCTGTACATAGTCCTTTTACTTCCTTGTGGCCTGTGAAACTAGTTTATAATAAACTCTTAAGAATATTTAAGTGTATCTGGTATGTCTGTTTAATTTTAGAAAATGGGGTGCTTAATACAGTCAAGAAAGATTCCTTGGAAAAGCTAGTGCTAATCTCAGCTGCTTCCCTTACAAAATATTTTACTGCACATTTGCAGAGATGCACAGCATACTGAGAATTCACACAATTGAACTATGAGACATTTTCACATACCAGACTGGCAAAGATTAGTTTGTTGAAGTAAACACTCATGCAGTGTTGGTAATGGTTGTGAATTGGCAGATCTTCTTTGGAAGGCACTCATCTTGATAGCCTCTTGTGCAGTACCTGAGATTATATTCATTTTCATATGATAAAGTAGGAGGCAGATAACTAAAAATGAAAACCAGTTCCACTGGGAGAGGAACAATTTGGTATAACATTCTCCCAGCATCACACACATGCATATGACCTAACTTTTGAGTTGTGGATCTCCATGATTTCTTCCACCTAAAGTCTACATTCAGTTGATCACTGAGCAGTACTTGAGTACTTAGTACATCAATATTCAAGGGTACAGAAATATGAAGTGGACACTTCTGAAGTTACTGTCTGGGGGAAGACAATTCTAAATGCAAAGGAGACCTTGAAAAAGTGATGAGCAACTGGGGTGTTAGGAATTTCTCCAGGAGTGTAAAGGTGGTTCAACATAATGGAATACACGTTAATGGAAGGAAAAAGCCACACAATCGTTTCAATAGATGCAGAGAAAACATTTGATGAAATTGTGACACGCTTTCATGATAAAAACATTAGGAGTAGAAAGGAACTTTGTAAACATGACCAACGGGTTAATTCGAAAAACCCACAGCCAACATAATAGAGGTGTCCCCTTTAACCACTGCTATTAACCCTCGTACTGGAAGTTGTAGCCACAGCAATTAGGTAAGTATACAAAATTAAAGATACACAAGTTAGAAGTAAAACTTGACCAATACCCCATGTAGAGAAAATCCTGAAGAACCCATTAGAAAACTAGAGCTGATAAATTCAGCAGTTGCAGGGTCCAAGATCACACAAATCAATTGTGTATCTATACCAGCAACAATCTGGAACGGAGATTTAAATAATTCCATTTTTATAGTAGCATTTCAAAGAAGAAAATAACCTAGAAATCCGTTTAACCAAGAAGGTGAAAGATTTGTACACTGAAACTAAAACATCTTGAAAGAAAACCTAAATAAATGGAAAGACCACTCAAGTTCATGGGTTGGAAGACAATACTGTTAAAATGGCAATACTCTCCAAAATGAACTATAGATTGAGTGTAATCTGTCAAAATTCCGATGGCTTTTTTTTTTTCCAGAAACAGGTGGATCCTCCAAATCCGTATGAAGCTGTTAGACGCCCAAATTAGCAAAACCGATCTTGAAAAATGTTCAAAGTTGGATGTTTCACACTTCTGCCTTCAAAACCTAGTACAAAGCTTCAGTAATGAAAGCAGTGTGGTGTAGACATACAGACCAGTGGAAAAGAATTAAGAATCCAGAAATAAACTCTTGCTTATATGGCTGATTTTTGATAAGGGCGAAAACTTTCTATTGGAATAAGTCTCTTCAACAAACAGTGCTGGACAATTGGATAACTAATGTGGAAGAATGGAGCTGGACCTCTGCCTTGTTCTGTACGTCACTCATTAACTCAAAATGGATCAACAATCTAAATATAAGAGCTAAAGCTATAAACCTACTGGAAGAAAACAGGTAAAGCTTGACCTGGGGTCTAGTGATGGATTCTTATATTTGACACCAAAAGCACAAGCAAAACAAATTTTGTGCATCAAAGGATGTTATCAAGAATATGAAAAGGCAGCCCACAGAATGGGAGAAAATATTTGCAAATCCTGTATCTGATTTGGGTTTAAAATCCAGACTATATAAGGAACTTTTACAACTCAACAGTAAAAAGATAAATAGCCCAATTTAAAAGCAAAGGAATGGAATAGACATTTCTTCAAACAAGATCTACAAATAGATAACAAGCATATGAAAAAGATCAGCATCACTGGTTTAAAGAGATGCAAATTAAAACCACAATGAGATACCATTTCATACCCACTAGGATGGCTTTCATGGAAAAAGGGCGGGGTGGGGAGGCTAACTGCTGGCAAGGATATAGGGAAATACGACCCCTTGTGTACTGCTGGCAAGAATATAAAATGGTGCAGCCAGAGTGGAAGACTGTCTGGCAGTTCATCAAAAAGTAAACAGAAATAGCATATGATCCAACAATTCCACTCCTAAGTATATACCCAAGAGAAATGAAAATCTATGTCTACACAGAAACTTGTATGTGAATGTTTCTAGTACATTAATCATAAAAGCCACATAGTGGAAACAACTCAGCTGTCCATCAGTGGATGAATGGATACACAAACTGTGGGATGTTACATTCAATAAAATGTTATTCAGCCATAAAAGAAATGAAATATTGATACATGCTGCCATTTAGATGAACCTCAAAAACATTGTGCTGAGGGAAAGAAGCCAGACACAGAAGGCCATGTCATAGGATTCTTTTTATTTGAAATGTCCAGACTAGGTAAGATCGTAGAGACAGCGGATTAGAAGTTGCTGGGGCATGGGGGTGGGGCCAAGGGGAATGGAGATGGATTACTTAGTGGATTTTTATGTGGCGATGAAAACATTTTGCAACTAGAGATAACTATAGCTGGCTATTGTGTTAACATGGTGAATACAACTAAATACAGTTGAGTTCTAATGGTCAAATTAAAGTGGTTAATTGTATGTTAAGTGAATTTCATCTGAATTAAAAAAGAAAGAAGGGAAAAAGAGAGTTTCATCGTGGAAAGAGTTTACCAAGGCTTTTTACTGGGGGAAGGATATCTCAGCAGAGGAAAAGGCCAAGGAGTAAGGACATCAGGGAGCTGAGCTTGGCGGCAGCTTTTGGCAGAAGATTCAATGGCTGGCTCAGACAATGTCATAGGAACATTATGCCCCGAGTGAGCAGCAACAAACTGCAAAGCAGGGCTGAGACATCCCTCTGGGGAGCCTCCCATTTGCCTGTCAGGCGTGACCCAAAAGGGTTTTGTACTCTTAGCCTGAGCTGAAAGGCACGGACTCTTCTTTGATCACACAAATAATAAATATTTTCCTCAACAGAGGAAAAATGTAGAGTCACGCATTGCCTAGTGATTAGCAAAGTAAAAATACTGTCTGCTCAAAACTATTCTCGAAAATCCATTAAAACCTTCTTGAAGTATGGTCTACCTGGTTCTGTGTATACAATCCTATGCAGAAAAATCCTAGGCACACTTGCTTTTGGGAACCATTGACTAAACAGGGAGAAAGAACAAAAGAAGTCTGCGGTCAGACATCTGGGCATTCCAACTATTTTATCTTGATAATTCCTATGTCCCCGGTGGTGCAAGAGGTTTGGGTAGAGGACTGAACATGCATTTTGACCTTCCTGTAGGCTTTACTCCGGTTTTCATATTAAGCCTCTATAATGTTAGTTCAGTAGGTCAATTGGTCTGTGGCTGTGAACACTGAATAAGAGTTCAAGCATCAGGTTTGCTGTGGCTTTAAATCCAAATTCTGCTTGGTCAGACCCACATGCAAACTCTTCTGTAGTTTATGTATTCTGCTTGTTTCTTTCAAAAATACTTTATTATATAATGCTCATGAAAGAATGACTTTAGAAAAAATGCTCAGAGTCCCAACACCTTGAACGTTCAATGTTGAACATTTGCCTACTTGTTGGGTTTTGTGATCTTGCTGTATCCTCAACTTCCTATTTCTTTCTTTCTTTCTTTTTTTTTTTTTAAAGATTTTATTTATTTGACACAGAGAGAGACACAGTGAGAGGGAACACAAGCAGGGAGGGTGGGAGAGGGAGAAGCAGGCTCTCCGCTGAGCAGGGAGCCTGATGCGGGGCTCGATCCCAGGACCCCAGGATCATGACCTGAGCCGAAGCCAGACGCTTAACGACTGAGCCACCCAGGCGCCCCCCTATTTCTTTTAACATCAAAAACATCCCCCAAATCTTTGCAAACATAATGACTTTAGTGTCTCATTAAGTGAACATTGTACCTACCACTATTAACCAGATCTCTGTAGTTGGACATTCAGCTTTATCACTTACAAATAATGTGATGATCCTATTTTTGCATAAAGATCATTCTATATTTAGGTAATTCAAAATGAATTTCTGAGTCAAAGGTTGCAAATGTTTTCATTAACTTCATTAAAACTCGCATTGATTTGCCCTGTTCCAAAACACACGGCTACACTTTTTACAACATGCTCCTCAAAATTGATAATAGTCATCAAGAAGAAATACACTTGGGGTGTCTGGGTGGCTCAGTCAGTTAAGCGTCTGCCTTCGGCTCAGGTCATGATCCCGGGGTCCTGGAATCAAACCCCCGCATCAGGTTCCTTGCTCAGCGGAGAGCCTGCTTCTCCCTCTCCCTCTGCCTGCCACTCTGCCTACTTGTGCTCTCTATCTCTCTGTCAAACAAATAAATGAAATCTTTTTTTTTGAAGATTTTATTTATTTGGGTTTGGGGGAGCACAAGCAGGGGGAGTGGCAGGCAGAGGGAGACGGAGAGAAGCAGGCTCCCCGCTGAGCAGGGAGCCTGATGCGGGGCTTGATTCCAGGACTCTGGGATCATGACCCGAGCCGAAGGCAGACGCCCAACGGACTGAGCCACCAGGGGCACCTTAAATAAAATCTTAAAAAAAAAAAAAGAAGAAGAAGAAATACACTTTCCTAGTTTGGCTGCTGCAAATGATATGTCATTGTTATATCATTGTGTTCTTTTTATTTCCAAGGGGGGGATTTGTTTTTATTCTTAAGTTATCACTTTCCTCTTTTGCTGTTGTCGTTAAAGAAACTTTTATGACAGACATTTCCCCGTGTTATTATATAAGTCTTGATAACGATTACAGGTGGATGTATATATAACCTGCTCATTCTTCTCATTTTGGGAATTCATGTCTGATTTTTCATGACTACAACCAAGCAGTAATGAATATTTCGTGTAGAAATATTTTTTCTTTGAATTTTGTAAGTTTTTTTTAATTTTAATTTTTTTATTTGAATACAGTTGACACACAATGTTACATTAGTTTCAGGCATACAACATAGTGATTTAACATCCCTACCCGATATGCTGTCCTCACCACAAGTGTAGCTGCCATGTCACCATACAACACTACTGCAATATCATTGACTCTATCCCCGTGCTGTGT